AAGTGGATACTTGGCGCTCCCTGTCCTTTCTTTGCTTCCTAACTAGCCTTAAGCTGCTGCTTTTTTTTTTTTTTTTTTTTCCCTTTTTTTGAAAACATGTCTTATATTCCAAAAACAATCAATGGACGAGGCCGGGGATCACAATTCTACCCGGAGTTATCCCGGCAGCATCAGCCGGTTTAGCTTTCCAACAAAAACAATCAAAATTATTCTTTCAAATTTTGTGTGCTCTCCTTTCTATTTTCCCCGTTTCCTTTTCCTTTGTGTGTCTATTCCGTCATGATCATGATGACCAGGGTTTATACCAAGCAAATTTTACAACCTGGACTCCGCATACGGAAGCGAGGAGCGCGGTGACGAGATTCAGACAGTGGGACGCTGTGTTAGTCCCAAGTTACCTTCCAAGTTCCAATGCCTTTTTTTTCTTTTTTTTTCCCTCCGACGCTGCCGCTGGTACTGGCTGTGCGGTTCTTGGCACCCATCCCCTTGTTTATCATAATAGTAGGTCTAGCATACATGACCGCGGGAATGGAAAACGGGGGTCGGTCCGAGTGCCCCTGTTTTTCCGCTTCTCACCAGATAGAAGTAATGTCAAAATTTGACTCAAAAATGATTAGTATTACTATACGTAAGCCCACAATCTTCTCATTTCGGGAGGCCGATTGGATTTGCCCGCCTGGCACCGGACTGCGACACTTCGCCCTGCGCACCCCTACGAGACCCTATTGTCCCTGGGACTCGGACCTATTGGGACGCTGCTGCAGATTTGGACTTCGTGACTTACTTTTCAGGTCAGGACCGGTGAACTTTTTACCAACCTACAATGTTTCAACTTCTGACCGTACCGGACTGTGAGACTTCGCCCTACTGGCCCCTACGAGACTCTATTGACCCTGGGACTCGACCTACTAGGACGTACTGGGTCTCGGACCATCCGGGATTGGGCCGAACTGGGACTCTGGGACCAGAACTGAGGACATATGCAATAGGCTAAAAGAGAGCTGCTGATTCAGCATTGAGGTCTGAACGTAGCATAGGTACCAGCGGCCACAAGTCTCGTGCCTGGGCCCCTCTAGACCAGAGCCCCCAATTGCGAGTAGAGCGGAAGGCCCTGGATGCAGACCAGTAGGACATCCTGGAGGCCCAGCCGTATACACTTGCGCAGCGCTAGACCTTGGGAATAAAGTTAGTGGACACCTAATTGCCACCAGGCAGTTGAGACATCAGCGCTGGAGTTAGACCGCTAGTACACGGCCCCAGCCTTGCGGAAAGTGGTTGTCGCCACAAGCAAAACTCGGAGGAGCCACACGGCCAGGCCCGCTGTTGAAAAAAAAATTGGCAGCCTCCGAAGTGGTGTGGGTTTCGTGCTGATACCCGCGGGCCGATATGTGGTGTACAGGTGCTTTAAGCGGGAGTAGCATTTGTATAGAGAAGCGTTAGCGAGGAGAGGATTGGCTGTCCTGACCCGAGCACCATAACCCTGGTTTGTGAGGAGTGGAGGTATGCAGAGGACTCACCTGGGCACCATAACTCGGGGACTTCAGCTAGCCATAGCTGGTGATTCACTCTTCGCCTGCAGCAGCTCAAGGCTGTGCCTTTCACTTGTCAGTATCGAGATCCACACAGAGAGGCTCTACATGTCCTCTACTTCCTCCTTCCATCTCCACCTCTTCCCAGACAACACACACACACACACACACACACACACACACACACACACACACACACACACA